TGATCCTCAATAATAGATTTGTTTTTGGGTTCTCAATTGTGAAAAGTTTTTTCCACTGAAAAAAACTGCTCATGGAATCTTCCTTTACTTGGGAAGCCATGGAAGCTGAGGAAGAAGCTGAAAGCTTGGGGCTTCTCTTGAGCTGAAGATCTGAGGCTGCAAAGCAAAAGGATTGCTGAGAACAATTGCAAAGCACCTGAGAAAGGAAGCTGAATACAATCTATGAAAGGAAAATGAATACTACAATCAATTACAAAAAGGAATTCTCACAGGAATCCAGATTTGTTTTGGTGATAATTGATTATAGAGGGTCTCCTGTTTGTTTGGGGGGGTGCCTTTACTAATCAGGATCGCACATTACAAACAAAAGAAACCAGAAGCTAGTGAGGACTAAACGTGATAGGTGGACACGGCTCGCATCGCATCGTAAAAAGGGAGTCTATAGGGGAAAGTCATGATCAGGAGTCCCAGCCCGACCGTGGACCGAAGGTTCCTGGGATGGGAGTGGGTGACATCCCTGAACCGGACCCGTCGGGTTGGGGGCGTGGGCGTGGGGTGTGAAACCCGCCTCCCAGCGCCAGCACGCCAGGCTCACAAGGAGCGCCTGCGACATCTGCCAGCGGCCCATCTGCGCCCAGCGGCGGATGGCGCTGTTCAGAGGTCCGACATGGCCCACTGCCTTGGGTCACAGAGCGCTGAGCCCACCCAGAGCCCCCCCGGCTCTATTAGAAGCTTTGAATCGTGAAACAAGGCGAACCTCGTTCCGCATGTGTATCGATCATAGCATGGTCCCAAACATCTCCCAAAAAGGTTTCGGATTGGCTGAAGCGGGTTCACGACTGCAAGTGCTTCAGTGAGCCTCAGGTGGTACAAGTTTGACCTCCACAAACTTCGAGCGATACAACCTACAGGGCTCCAACTAGCTCGTGACAAGGTGGTTGGGGTGGTCTCCAAAACCAAAATCTCTCTGCGCTGTGCTCCCAGGCCAACGGCGATGCACCAGTACACTCCACTATATACTAATTGACAATGGCAATGGCACTGCATGATTTGCACCACTCTTGAAAAAATGCTTCACCACCTGTGATAAACACAATGATGGTATTTACAGTTGTCTCTTTGCCCACGTGGGATTTCCTCAATCAACAGCAGTGAAGAGATTCTCACCCTCAGAGTTTCAACATTCCTTCCCCAACAGTTTTATTATAAGTGAATCATTTCATTTCGGAGTCCCCTTCTCCTGCCTTTCTCTTTCCATACTACTGGTGATGGATATAATCCTACTCCAGTTGAAATGTACAAAACATGCCCAAAGAGCTGGTCAAGGGCAGTGCGCAAGGATGATTTACTGGCTTTCCATGGCCTTCCATAAAGTAAAATTAAAAGTAAAACAACAGTAGAGATTCCGGGCAGAGACACAAAAACACATTACACTCCCAAAAACAATCATGGAAGTGGATGGCATGGCCCCTGGAATGACCATGAAATCCTCTACAAAGCAGGGGTAGTCCACTTCCATTGGCAGTTGGAGGCAAAGTAACTGAGGGGAAGGACTACCGCACCTTCCCATCTCCAAGTCTCTTCGGCATTGCCCAGGGCCTCCTGAACCAACGGCTCGCTGCGCAGGGCCATCGTGAAGCTTGCTCATGGCTGGCGAGAGGAAAAAGCTTGCTCGTTCTGCAGCAGCACACCCTGTTTGTAGGGGGAACTAGTCACAAGGGTCCATTTTCCACTTCCATGCTAGTGAGTCAGAGAGTAGGTGTGCTTGAATGCCAAATGCCAGGGCCCCCCCCACAAACATGGGGTGTCTATTCATAGCCCCTTTGTCCATGAAGCCGGCCACAAAGTGGGTCCAGGTGCATGACCTATGGGTCCAGGTGAATGATCTGTGGGTCCAGGTGAATGATCTGTGGGTCCAGGTGAATGACCTGATGAGCTTCTTTCTGGAATATGAACCTTTCTGGCTGGGTTTTGATGTACTTTCCCCAGTTCGAAGTTGCGTGCAGTCTGCAGAAAAATAGACCGTACATGACCGTACTTACAGTCGTTCTGCGGTACTTGGTGAATATCAACACCCCAACTGCGGTTTTCTTCCATGGTGTTCTTTCTTCCTGAACAAATGCAGTAAGGTGGTGCGTCGCAACTCTTCATGAGGGAAAACAGGTGTTTAAAGTTTAAGCATGGTAGTCGGTAGTCGTTGTTGGTTTTCAACCAGAGTCTGCAGCCCGAAGTTGGCATTTTTTTCCGGAGGTGCCCAAGGAACCTGAGGTGGCTAAGTAGAGCTTTGCTGAGTTAGCATGGCCTACAGGGCGTCTTGTATCACCAATAATTATATACGTATATATATATAACCGTGGTGCTTCTGTAGTTGAATCCATTGGGTGCACCAATTTCGGTTGCAATGTTTGTGGTTGTCTGGAGCTCGAGTTCAGGTAATTTCGGATGCCTGTCTTTTTTCAAACGAGCCGAGGCTGCCTTCAGCATTCTTGAGAGGCAAGTGTCCCAAACACTCAAGCCAGCCAACGCAGCATATAACAGATTGGTGTTGGCTGCTCTCCCCTTCGCGGCTCTTTTCTGCACGCCTTCGGTGACCTACAGTGTATGGAAGACTCCGGGTCACCTCATAACATGTGGCTGCTAACAACCTCCTAGCTTGATTGCATTTGCAAAATCAACAAATCAGAAAGTCAGTATGAACTTTAGGAGGAACTTAAAACATTATCTGATGCAAAGGCCTTCAACCCAAACACCGTTTAGCAAATGAGATGTCAATGTTGCTTACAACAAAAGCGTTGAGACGCTAGCTGTGCCGATGCGGACCACCAATGACAGCCTTCCCAGCATCTTCGGCCGCGCAGCAAACAGCCGACGCAAGGTCCAGCCGCCTCGTCCACATCTCATCTCATTGATCGAGGATTAGGTGTGGCATGAATTCAGTTGGTCCAGCCAGTTGGTCCAGCCACGAACGAACGCTCCCTCAGCTCGGAAGAGTGAATCTCTCAGCTCCGAAGAGTGAACTCAGGCGTCAGCTCCAGCGTCAGCTTGTCCTGAAAGATGAGGGATCTGGAGGTTTAAAACAAACAAAAAAAACAAATGCCTTGGATGCCTTGATGCTTTGGGTATTTCCCATTACCGGTACCAATGGATGATGATGGTTTCTAGCTAGTAAATGCTAGTAAGACTTTTCCCCAAGTGATACTTCTTTACCGACTGTCACTGGCAACGGGACACGCCATATGCATATCTTCAAGAAACAGTCCTTGATGGACCTCCAAAGTGTCTCAGGATGCTCGATGGAGACTTCACGCAAAGCTACGGCCATCGGGTTCTCGCCGCCAGGTGCAGTGAAGCGATCCAATTCTTCATGGCTCTGTGCATGGAAGACGCCCATCATCTCCTTTGTGGTGACCGGTGGAAGAGTCACCCATATGACCAATGGCTATACATTGCCCAGGGATAAATGAAAATAAATCGGTGTGTTCCACTTTCCTGTTTCTTGGAAGCCCGGGTGCACTTGAAGGTGAGAAGTGCGATGCGACAACAAACCCTGCTGGGAGTCTCGAAGCTCATTCATTTCGAGGAACTGAGCCTGAAAGTGATTCCGTTGTGAAACGCTTGCGCAGTCTCTATTGGAGCTCTCAGCTACTGATCTTTTCCTGCTCAGTTTAGCAGCCAGGGGATGCAAAGTGCTTCTTTGGGGCCATCGTTTTTCTGCGTCCAAAGGGTAGCGGTGAAGGTGAGTAGGAGTGAGATCATTGCTTCACCTGATGGAGCTGATTAGTCGGAATTTCCGGACCCTCTGGTCAGGTGTCACAGTCCATCCTCCACCACCCCAAACACCTCAAAGAGCGTACTTGTCCAGCCAAACCTGCCAGACCGCCAGCATTACCTCGAAAGAAAAAGAACACACCCCGATTTGTTTAAATACTACTGTATAGAATCAAGAAACAATATTCAGAATACTATATTTAGATTATTTATTTAGATGTCTCTCCTTGTGGCTGGGCATCCCTCCTCTTTTGAATTCAAACATTTTTGAAGCATGGGACTCCAACTGCGCCGAGCCTCACTGACTCCCATCTTCAAAGATGGCACAGTCGTCGCACGCTCTTGTGCCCGTGCAAACACGAAGACCTCCGGAGAAGCCGGAGCCATGGGTGCAGGCTGGTTGAGAAAGCCGATGTTGTAGGGCGCCTCAGCCAGAACCTCCAGGACTGCATGGAGCACGTGGCCCAGTAACATCACGTCGCTGGAGCCTGCTTTCAGCGAAAGACGAAGCGAAAAAACCGGATACTCCAACCAGGAGAGGGTCACCGAGTCTTTGAAGTTGACCGAGGCAATGGAACTGGCTTGGGCTACTGGATAAACCCAGGATTCAGTCAAAGCTTGATCCCCTGCTGGCGGGGGTGAGGCATGGCAGTGGATATGGTTCTGACTGGCTCCCGCGCCAATGCTGTTGAAACCCAAAACCAAAGAGCCAGGTGGTTCAATCGAGCTGGACAGCAGCACCATGTCACTGCAATCTGAGCGCTCAAAGGCCTGACTTCTCCAGTTGCTCCTCTCAGACAAGGATGGAAGGAGCAGGAAATGCCCTCGAACATCTGCAGGACTCATGTTGTGATAAATATCCCAATCATTGGTCATCCCCGCAAGCTTCACTCGTCCCAGCAAGGGTCGCAATTCCAAACGGAGAGGTCCAGTGACAAAGGAGTCTGTGCTGGAATCATAGGGAGGGGGACGGGAAGAACATCTCTCCGAGGGACCAAAAGCAGGGGCAGGCCGCATGGTACGGACGAGCTGCAATTGACAAGCAAAAGGACCTTTCACTCTGAACTTTAGAGATGAACCTTCAGCATCTCGACAGCGTGATAGGGTCTCCTTGATATTCTTTACCAGCTCTGACTCTGCGACTTCCGTGGAACCGCTCTGATCAACTTCCTCCACGAAGTCTTCAAACACTATCGAGCCGCCCTGATGAGAAAGGCGGACTCCATAGCGGACGGTGATGTCCGCATCGGGCTTCAGCCGAGTGGTTGCCACGACGTGGTCCTTCTTGACCAAATCAACCCAAGCGCGAGACAAGTCTATCGATGCAAGACTGTAGCTGGGCCCGACTGGCGCCGCCATGAGCCCCCAGAAGAGGAAAAGCTGCGATTGAGAAGTGGATGGAAACAAAACCACACCAGCTAAGATACTACAGTGCAAACATCCTTGATCCTACTGGCTCACCAAAACTGTTCAGTTGGACCAGTCGGGGTGGTATAATTAGAGGTTGAAAGGGTAAAGTGTAAACCAAGTCAAAAAAAAGCAAATGGACGGCATCAGCCAACTTACATCAAGTATTGTAATTGTAGCAGGCAGGACCGTTCCACATTCCAAGAATTTGCACATGCACCCAACGCTAGCATGCGGCGGTCTCTGCTCCACACCCATCCAGCATACAAATCTCTGCAACCTCACCTTTGCAACAAGGGTGTAGACTGTGGAACCATCGGAGGCAGGCCGACAGGGAAATTGCAAAATACTATGAACACAATTCTGGCTACGTATATATATATATATATATTTGTTCTTTTTGGGGGGTGCATGAAGCTACTGAAAGGTTTGACCACCCCAGCCCTCACCCTTCCTAAGTAAAAGCACTAGTCGAGTCTGTCACTTCACTTTTTGCGAAGGATTTCCAGTTTGTGTTGCCGATCTGTTGCAGGACAAGTGGGAGATTGGCTCAGTTCCACATCAAAACAGCCTTTGGCGAGCAGGTGTGTCATGCCTGGAACGAGCATGAGGAGCTGTCTAGCCTAGTCTATGGCCCTATATGGCTGTCTGTTTGCCACTTGGCTGGCGCAAGTTGCAAGGCCTCAGTACGAAGGCCCAAAAGACCTACCTCCCACCAAGTTTCGGTACAAATGCTGCACAACCACGGCTCGGTGGCGAATGTTGCCACCTTCAAAGCCCGCAGCTGATGCCACACGAATTGGCACTTCGCCCCGAATTGGCCGGGACGGCCGCCTCAGGCGACCAGGACCTTGCGGGGTCCCAGTTCGGCATCCCACAAAAAAACACATCGAAGCCAAACCTTGACCTGTTGGAGTGATCCTTTCCCTTTCGAATTTTTCAAAGTATGGCTGGCAAAGAAAAACGGGTCTCACGTTTTTTCACGCAGGATCTGCCTGGCCTATCCAGACTTGAAAAGGAGGATGGCCACTTGCCCCAAATAGAAGTAGATGAAGTGCTTCGTTTCATGGGTCACATAGGAGCCGAAGTTGCGACCCACCACTGCGTGCCACGTCGGGTTGTACTTCTTGTCAAACTCCTTTGGGTCAAAAAGAATTCTTGAACAGGCTGGACGGGTCAAAGGTTTTGACCCTGCAACCAAACGAAACACCCTTCAAAATCAAGAAACTCCTCCGCCAGGGTCTTGAGCTCCGTATACCGTATACACACGTATACACAGTATATAATGAACCCAAAGGAAACATACCGTATTACAGCCTCTGAACAGTCTCAGCTCAGGACCAACCCAAGCTATATACACAAGCTCGTGAAAGGCTGACATGCTCCAGTGCTGTGTTGGTGTGGTTTCTTTATCCGCTGATGGCAGCCTGACCATACCATAGCATTGTACTCAACAATAGCTGAGACGTTCCGTGCAGATACCACACCATCGATACCAAGTCTGGGTCCATGCGGTCCATGCGCTCGAGATGACTGTGACTACACCGACCTAAGCCTCAGTCCTTCTTGATGAATGCGGCGATGTCTTTCCTGAAGCAAATCGGGGTCCCCTCTTTTGAGTACTTCCTGTATAGATGAAGTGATAAACAACATTCTTGCGATCAATGCACATCATCTTACAGCAAAGGAGCGTAGATGGCAAAATTCCCCATGTCGGTGGTTTATGTAGGCCCCCACATCTAAAAGACATTGAAGGTTTTGTGCCATCGACTCTGAAACCACTGGTCCATGAAGCCGTGGGTGGGAGACTCCAGCCCTCCACAAAGGAGGTCTGGGACTGGTCTGAGGGCCCGGCCAAGCGGGGAAAAGCAGGTTGGAAGAGCTTGCTTTTTGAGGGACATGGTTGGATGAGAAAGGGAAGCAAGCACAGCAGCTGGGTAGGTCGTTTCCAAGCATCAATGCTAGAAGCAATGCTGGATGGTTTGAGCTCGGATGCTGGGCATCTGCGCTGTCCTGCATGGTCTTCGTTGCGGGAGTTCGGTGAGAGACTCCCAAGACACTCCTTCCCAAACGCCAAAGCCGATAGATCAACAGGACCAGCGGGATCAGCACGAACTCCAGCATGCGCAGCACGGAGTCGTCGGCAACACACGAGGCATTGCCCCCATTCTCAGTGGGCCTTTCTGACCCCCTGACCTACGGCACTAACAAGAAGTTACTATGGCACTATGGGCTCCTGGCATTACTAGGAGCAAGGATGCTACTAGGGGCTCCTGGCCTTACTACTAGGAACAAGAAGCTACCAGGGGCTCCATGATGATTTTGGGACAAAGTAATCCAAACAAGAGGACAAAGAGTACCCTCCCAAACCCTGGCCACGCTGCCAGGCCCCTGCCGCCGGGCAATTGAAAGCCCAAGCATCTCAATGTTGTACTTCTCCAAAGCCTGAGTCGCACAATCAATGGCATCTTGCTGCATGTCCTCGGCCATGTCAGCGTTCTTGATCACAGCCTGCAAGCAGGAGTTGTTCGAACGCCTCAACGTGTCGCCAACGCCGGCAACGGGGCCCAACGGCCTCTCACATCGAAAACGCTGACGGTCTGACGGGATGGAAAACATAGGTATCCATTTCCATCGTATCCATGCCACAAACGTCTCAGTAGTTGGACCCAATTCACGATATGTTGCTGGTTGTTTACAAGAGGGCACAATAAGGGAGATCCCTGATACTCACAAAACAATTTGCTCCCCTCCAATGTTAGTTTTCCTGGTATTATAGAACTCCCCTAGTGGAGTGGTTCTTGTTGGGCTTCCGGTTGCATCCTCTAAGCACTTACACTCGGTCAACATTTTATCAAAACGGTTGAATATAATTACACACTCACACTCAACATGGAGGTGGAAAACCTCTGGTTGCCATCGGTTACCTTGTTCGTAGTCTTCCTTTCGGGGCCATGCCTTCCACTTAGCTTCCATGTGTTCTACACATTGTGCGCACGCTCAACCAATCTCAGCGGCCTTGCGGTCTGCCATTGCTTACGAAACCGACGGCGAAACGGTGGCGAGGACGGCAACGTGGCGAGTCTTCAGTGCTCTGAGCCAGCGGGTGCCGCCGAGGTTTTCAGGTGCCGCCGGGGCGTGATTTGCAGGATGTTTGAAAGAACATCTGCAGGAGACCCATGTTTTCACCCGCTTTCTGCCCATGGGTTTCCAGTACTTTTTAAAACCAATTCTAGGAATGAATTGTGCCAAGGATTAGGCAGGATTGAATAGGAGCAATCAGTGAAACACCGAACATGTCCTGTCCAACGATCTAAATCTGGCCGAATCTGGCGACTTGACTAATATATTGTTTAGGGGGTAGAGGACGCTACTATAGGAGCAAAGGGCATCGCTACTAGGAGCAAGGACGCTACTAAAGGGGCTCTTGGCCTGACTACTAGGAGCCTTTTCTGGATCGCGTTCTCCGTCACTCCATCGGGTACCCCATATATGGGCGATCTGTTTGGAACTGACACATAGACACACCGGAGTTCAGTTCTAAAGCGGAGTTCAAAAGCTCCGTGTCGAAAGTGCCCAGAATTAGCACCACTGGTACCAAGGCATGCATGCCTATTTTGTTTGGCAAACAAAATGCATTGGTTTTCCCCCATCAAGCCAACACCACTTCCAAATAGCCGAACAAATAGAACTCCCTGCTGTCTGTGTTTTGCCGTGTGCCTCCGGGAGACACTCAACGGACCGTCTGGACTGGACTCGGCGATCCACCCGAGACGAAATCCGAGTTCCGTTTTCCGATCCGTTTTCCGATCGCAGTCCAGCTAGCGACGCCCGTGCTTCACGGGCCTCGAAGATCCCCTCGGCTCGGTCGCTGTTTTCGATACGTAGACGAGAGAACTGCCGATACGTGTATATAGAGTGTAGAGATGATCTTCAATGCGGGTGCCCGAGAATCCCATTAATGGATGGCCACATGCCTCTAGAGCACCTGCCGAGACGAGAGAACCTGCCGGTGAGACCGGGTCCGTTCTGCCGCAGCCGCTCCGATGTTCAGCATGGCTGCGGACGTGGCCCACCTGCCGAGGTCGGGGCGAACCGTGGCGTGAACGACGTCACCGATGAGGCCGTTGGACCTCGTCGAGGCGAACGAACGCACCGCGAAAATGGCGCGACTCCTATAGAAACCGCCCTGATGTAGACACCACTGAGGAGGAAACCAAGATGTAGCAGCGATGAGTGCGAAATCAAGCCAAACGTTGATGGTGTTTCCCCTTTCGGAGTCTTTACCACAAGTGGTGAACAAACCTACTGCGTAAAGCGACCATGGGCCATGGGTAAAACTTTGGATGACGCTTGACACATCCAACCATGGAAACTCATGAAAATCTTGGGCGGAATAATTTATATGAATTTATCAACAGCAAGCTCCAAAAACAGGGCTCTTCATCCTACAGGGTGACAAGGTCTGACGTCATTGCCAACTGAATGGACAAACTCCTGCAAATGTATTGCTCCAATGGCAAAATCTTCAACAACTACAAGTACCTCTCATTCATGGTTGCAAAGTACAGGAAGGAGCTCTGGACAGTACCCAGAAAAGAAACCATTTTGGTGAGGCTGCCGCCAAAAATAACGGGAGCATCTTGGAGCGCACCATCCGTCAACGCTTCCGGACTCACCCGAGACATCAAAGCAAAAAGCATCACAACACTAAAACGGTTCTGAACCATATGGACCAGCAAACATGCAAAAACATGAATCATTAATTACATGATATAAATGATCCATTCAGGGGTTCTCCATGAATTCAGGTTCACTCGGAATTCAGCTGTTGGTGGTTCACCAGCCTCACTGGCCCGTCTGGCCACCCTGCCACGACGTCGGAGAGCGACTTCGTTGAGGCCTATCCAGACTTGAAAAGGAGGATGGCGACTTGGCCCAGGTAGAAGTAGATGAAATGCTTCGTCTCCTTGCCCCGGTCGTGTTTTTCTTCTGCACAGTGATGCACGGCAAAGAGGAGCAAATCTCCAAATGCAACAAAAAGGAAAGCCCGGCCCTATAACAGCGAGCCACAGGGCCAAACATGTCGAATATCTATCTTTTCGAGGGCACACCGTGTCACCTCCAAATAGCTTGATCTAGTTTTGGACTCACTCGAAACCGCAATCCACAAAAGCCGGTGCCAGCGGCACGCCGAAAGCTTGGACCGGGCTGCCAAGCCGAGTTGCAAAGATTGGGAGAGACCGGTTTCGTTTTTGAAGGACGTCTAGTTTCGTTCGATGGGATCTCTGGAACGGAAAGCGGAAGGCTTTGGAAAACATGTCTG